GGGGTCTGTCCGCCCCCGGGCCTCGGCTGCGTCGCGGTTTGCGCGTCCGGCCGAAGGCGGAGCTGCCCGGCGCCGGTGCAGGAGCAGCCTGGGGCGGGGTCCCTGGGAATGCCCACCGGCCCGTAATCGGACGGGCTTGCAGGCGGAGGTCGGGAAAGCTGGAGACCCTTGGCGCGGGCCGAGCTTGGGCCGGAGGGCAGGCAGTGATGGCGGGGCCTGATTTCCTCGGAGCGGGCGGCAGACCCGATTCAGAGTTGAGGTTGTGTGTGCTCTGGTCAGAACACGGGCCCAACTAGTGTCCGCGACTCGGGCCGAACACCCCAGGACGCCCACCCTGAGCGCGCCCTTCTGCCTCGGAGGGGGGAATGGGGAAGGCTTCTGGAGGAGGGGGCCGGTCCCCGGCTGAACGTGCGGCCTTCCCTGCCCGGCCAGTGCTCGGCGAGTTCATGCACCCCTGCGAGGACGACCTGGTCTGTAAGTGTACCACGGAGGAGAATAAGGTGCCTTACTTCAACGCTCCTGTCTACTTAGAAAACAAAGAACAGGTCGGGAAAGTAGACGAAATATTTGGACAACTTAGAGATTTTGTATCCTTTTCTAACCGGGAGATCTAATACTCTCCTTCAGAGGTGACTGTTTTTTCTGAGTCTCTTACTTACAACTGAAGTGGAACCCGGCTCCTGGAATCAGACAGTGTTGCTACAGATGGGGCAGAAGGTGTGGGGGGGTACTGTCTATACTCACCGTGTGGCGTCCACACACACTGCAACTAAGTCCTGGGAGGCTGCCTCCTGTTGAGAAATCCTGGAGCGAGGCCTGGGTAAGCACTTGGTTGGTTGCTGTGGATATGATGTGTCCCGGCATTGTGCAGTAGAAGTGAAAGCTTTTTTTCTCAAAGCTTCGTTTATTCTATGGGACTCGTGCATATGGCCTCCGTTGTTCTTAGCAAATAGTGTGCATTCAGAAGGCTTCATACCTCCTCCATCTCAGTTGCTTATTCCTTAATTTAATAGTATTTTTCAGTTAAATTGTCAGAAAACATGAAGGCATCTTCCTTTAAAAAACTACAGAAGGTGAGTCCAGCCTACACGGCGTTGGGTCCTGGGATTGCTGCCCTCAGACAGCTCTCCCTGGGGCACTGGGCTCCCGTGTCACGGATGAAGCTCTCATGGAGATGCTCTGGACCACTACAGCATTGCTCTTGGGCGTATTATTTATTTATTTTTTTTTGGAGAGGTTTTCGCTATAGGGCGCGTGCGCTCACCAGACAGACAGAGAGAGACATAGAGACAGAAAGCGAGAAATCACCCCCCAGAGGGGATGGTCACGCCGCAATCCCTTCTCCATTCTCCTCTCGGGATCTTGGGCACGCACGCACACGCGCCCGGCGTGAGTTTTAAGCCACCGGGTCCGGGACACGAACCGCGGTCGACTACGTGGGAGTCCAGCGACATAGCCATTACGCTAACTGCTGGTTCCCTTGTATGTATTATTGACACCCTTAGACCGTACCAGTCGGTAACTGCTAGCATATTGTTTTACTCTGTGTAAAACTCACTGAAGAGCTTGTGTGAGCAAACATTTTAAGTAAAATGTTAAATTATAAAAGTGACAGCTGGGGAGAGAAGGTAGGTACTACCCCATAAATATTTCAATAAACACATGCCCTCAGCAGTTAAAAAGGAAAATGAAAATGAGCAATGAAGGGACCAGCAGTTGGCGTAATGGCTATGTTGCTGGACTCCCATGTAGTAGACCACGATTCAAGTCCCAGACCCGGTGACTTAAACTGATGCTGGGCGCATGTGCGTGCGTGCCCAAGATTCCGAGAGGAGAATGGAGGAGAAGGGATTGCAGCGTGGCCGTCCCCCGTGGGGCGGGATTTCTCACCTTCTGTCTCCCTGTCTCTCTCTCTCTGGCGAGCACTCACGCCCCATAGCAAAAGTCCCTCCAAAAAAAAAAAAAAAGCAGTAGACAATCCAGTGCTGAGTCACATGAGCTACGGGCCAGTGCCCAGGAGCTACGTGTGGCTGCCTGCTGCGTCCCTGTAGGGCAATTTGCCAGCGGCCCCCAGCCGGGTTACCTCACCGTGGCGTGTAGGTAGTCCACAGCCCAGTGTTCTCTGGGCCCGAGTATTTCGGATGGGGCACACTCTACTGTACTGAGAAGTTTTAAGAAATTAAGTCCTTGCCCAGAGCTACCGTAATAAGTGGCAGATCTGGGATTTGAACCCAGGTGGTTGATGATACATCGTGTGCAGATTCTTGGCGATTGTGCTGTACCACCCCTCAGGTCATCACAGTAATTGCTTCTCTTCTGTTTCCAGTTTTATATAGCCCCATATAAGTTGCTGCCACTGCAGAGGTTTTTACCTCGGCCTCCGGGTGAGAAAGGCCCTCCCCGAGGAGGCGGCAGGGGAGGTCGGGGAGGAGGAGGAGGAGGAAGAGGCGGCGGCGGCGGCAGAGGCGGCGGCAGAGGCGGTGAGTTACTGGTGGGAGCTGCGGTGCGATTTCGGCCTCGGCTCCCTCGGTCGTGCAGTTTTAATTAGCAGAGACAGACTTCCCTGTATTTGTTTTCAGGTATCTGCAGATGCCCATGATGTAACTGTTCGTTCCAGAATTTTAGTTTGAGTTAATGTCATTGAGTGTTGATTGTATGCTGAGAATTGATCACATATTATTTTAATATTCACATACTTTTTTTTTATTAGTCAGCAAAGACCCCCCCCTTTTTTTAAGAGAGATTTTTGCTGTAGGGCATGTGTGCTCACCAGAGAGAGACAGAGAGCGAGAAGTCACCCCTGGGGGCCTGGCCATGCTGCAGTCCTTTCTCCATTCTCTCCTTGGATCTTGGGTGCACACACACATGTGCCCGGCTTGAGTTTTTCTTTAAGCTGCCAGATCCCAGACTATCTGTGGTCGACCACGCGGGAGTCGATGTAACCACTACGCCATCTGCTGGCCCCCAGCAAAACCTTTTAAGATAGGTGAAATCCTTATTTTATGGATGAGGGAACAGAAGCTAATGGAAGTTAATTTGCCCAAATCTAGCAATTGCAGACCCAGAATTAGACCCATACCTTCTGGTGTCATGTCGGGAACTGTCACCCGTAAGTCCCTTGCTGTGGCTTTAGGATTCTGGTCTGTGCACTCTCCACAGCATTGGCACATCCGTGCGGCCCCAGGGCACTCAGGCCTCACGACTCACCAGTGTGAGCTTCGCAGCCAGGCCATGTGCAGGCCAGCTGGCCAGAACTCCCGCAGGCTCCCCGAGTGCCACTCCCAGTTCGGTCAGGGAAGCGGTCGCCTTGAGGAAAGGCCAGTGTAAGCGTTCTCTAACGGTGGGGCTAAATCATGCTTCAGGAAGCTCTTCGGATTGGTTATGCGGTGACCTTGGCCTCTGCCAATCGGGGAATACCGCAGTGTCTCCGTCTTTAGCTCCAAGGGTTCTCACTGCAGTGGAGCACCTGGGGCTGTGTTCTCCGTGCGGGTAGGAGTCAGTGCGCTTTGTTGTCGGTGTCGTGCCAGCCTCGTCTGATGAACGCTTCCCTTTCCAGGTGGTTTTCGAGGTGGAAGAGGAGGTGGAGGCGGGGGCTTCAGAGGAGGAAGAGGGGGTGGTGGCTTCAGAGGTGAGTGAAGAAAATGTCTTAAATGACGGCGGTTTCAGGGTTTACGTGACTGGCCCTCTCTCCCCGCCCCGTCTTCGTTTCCGCCGGCAAGTGCGCAGACGCTGGTGCTCTTTGCTTCAGCCTCACCCTTGGCCTCGTTCATGCCACGCTTGATGGCTCTTGTCTGTCTTTGTCAACTTCTGGTGTTGCTATTATAAACTAAAAAATAAAAAAAATATGAGTGCTGGTTAAATCTGGCCAGTGACTGTTTTGAAATCACAGACACTAATGCTGACTTTGAATTTGAGATTTGGGTACTAGTGCTGTTAAAATCCATTCTTCGTACCACTAAGACTTTCTTTTTCTCTCCACAGGGAGAGGACGTTAAGGGCGACAGCTGACAGGCGCCTTCAGTGGGTTTCTGCGCTCGCTCACGTCAGCCGCCTCCGCTGTGGACTGGAAGCTTGTATTTGAGCAGATCTTGAAGATCTGGGAGTTTTACGATGGCAGAGCTAAGACGTCCATATTACGTAAGACGGGTGCAGCCGGCCAGTCCACGCCGCTCGAGCAGGGCACGGACGATCTCGCGTTTCATACAGCGCCTGGTACGCTGTGCGTGCTCAAAAATGGACCCAAGTTTTCATTTGAAGCTTACTTGAATTTTTAAAATAAAGTGTTTTATTCCTGTAAGTTATTTAGCATGTGTTCATTAAACCAAACTTATTTTTAAGATAAAAAGAATCCACTAACGCTTGCACCTGGTGGGGTTTATGTATATATGTTGCTGGCTTCGTAAGAACGACGACTGGGCCGTGCTTTGAGGCTGTTGTAAATTAGCACTCCTTTCAGAACGTTTCCCTTTGTGCAGGAGAACATGTATTTCCCATGTGTGTCTTTGTTTTGGTTAAGATTTTTGCCATATGGTGTGTGCACTTACCAGAGAGATAGCAAGGGAATGTGAGAAAAAAGCCCCCTGCAGGGAAGGCCTTGCTGCAGCTCCTTCCCCCTCCTCTTGGAGTTTTGGTCAACACACACACACACACACACACACACACACTCACCTGGCAGTTTTTTCCTGCCACTGGGTCTGGGACCTGAACCACTGCAGTCATTTGTGATCCAGTGCCTTAACCACCATGCCACGTGCTGGTCTCCCTGTTTGAATTCTTTTTCTTCAAGAGGTTTTTTTTTTGGACGCATGTGTTCACCATAAAGGCTCAGAGAGAGAGACAGAAAGCGAGAAATCACCCCCCTGGGTGGGATGGCCACATCACAATCCCTTCTCCATTCTCCTCTCTGGATCTTGGGGACGCACGCACATGAGCCCGGCGTGAGGTTAAGCCATGGGGTCTGGGAATTGAACTGTGGTCAGCTACGTGGGAGTCCAGCGACATAGCCATTACGCTGACTGCTGGTCCCCCTCCTGTTTGTGTTTTAATATGTAAGTTAGTGAAGCAGCTTCTATTAGAGCAGTCGACAATTTCAGTACCACGAGGCTGTTAGAGATGCTGGTCCAGGTCTGTTCAAGCTAGATTCAGTTCGAGCAGTTTCTGAAGAAGCATTTCATTGATTTCATTCAACATGGGTGAAATATTGAAAGTTTAGTTTTGAATGTTCTTTTTTTCACTTATTTCTTTGTGAGCGACAGGAACAGGAGCCTCAAATATGGTGTCCCCACACAGCGATCCTCCCACAGGCTCTGCTAGTCGGGATGGGGAGCCCTGTGTTCAGGGTGACTCTCACGTGGCTCCAGGGTGTGGCTGGGCCTGTTTTTACTTTAAAAGGAAACGAAGGTTTAAGGCGTTCACCCTCGGCAAACCGTTGATGTGCTGCTGCGTGCTGGGTTCCTGGTTGGGATGCTAGGACAGCGTTGCCAGTGTAGTGTCAGGAAAGCGGGACAGTGACTCCGAGTACCGTGGTGTGGCCCCCTTCACCCTGGCACTGTTCTTTTGCCGTCTTTACGGTGTTATTTCTTGGCAGAAAGGACATTTCCATGTCATCCAGTCACCTTTTGGGTATGATTGAACCCTGGAGTGCCGGGCTGAGAGTCTGACAGTGCTCAGGCGTTACCCACCCTCTTGGTTAATGGACTTCCCACGGTTAGTACAGATGTAGGCCAGGCACATGATGAGTGAGTACGTTGAAAATTACTTTTTTTTTTTTTTTTGGAGAGGTTTTTGCTATAGGGCGCGTGAGCTCGCCAGACAGAGAGACATAGAGACAGAAAGCGAGAAATCACCCCCCAGGGGAGATGGCCACGCCGCAATCCCTTCTCCTCCATTCTCCTCTCGGGATCTTGGGCACGCATGCACACGCACCCAGTGTGAGTTTTAAGCCACCGGGTCCAGGACGTGAACCATGGTCGACTACGTGGGACATAGCCATTACACTAACGACTGGTTCCTGAAAATTACTTTTTTGAAAAAGAATTCTTTATCGTTATTATTTTTAATTCAACCGTAGCAAGACACAGAGAGTGATGAGCAAGCAAGCCGCCAGGTCCAGGACTCGAACTGTGGTCAGCCACGTGGGAGTCCAGCAGTTTTAACCACACCATCTGCTGGCCCCAAAAACTACTTTTCAGGGGAAGAGACAATGATGCTTTTGCAATTTAGGGTAAAAGACTTGTTTATGAAATAGTATTAGGGCCAAAGTTTTTACTCTTTTTTTTTTTTTAAAATTTAAATAATTACTTAATTTTATTTGTTGTTATTATTTTTTTATTTGACCAGAGAGAGAGGAAAAGTGAGAAAGCAAGTCGCCAGGTCCAGGACTCAAACTGTGGTTGGCCATGTGGGAGTCCAGTACCCAAGCACCTCGCCACCTGCCAGCCCCACTACTCTATGTTTTCTACCCACCGTGCCACCTGCCAGCCCCACCATTTTACATTTAAGTGACCCGAGAGATGGCGCGCCTAGTCGGCGAGGTCGTGCTACAGCCCTGCCGTCTGTCCAGTCAGGGATGCAGCATGGATACGCACATGCACTTGCTGGCATGTTTTCCAAGCGGCTGCACTGGGATTCGAGCTGTAGTCAGCCAGCGAGTTCCAGCTCGCTTACGCACCAGGCTACGGGGCTGGCCGGGCAGCTAGGAGGGGTCTACCCATGGTTTACAGAGTACGTTAGCGACCACCAGGAGGCCATGGTGTTATCCTGAACGCAACCGTGCACCGTTCTGTAGGCTTGCCAGGGTGTGGGGAGACCCCAGGGTGGTCATCGGGCATCTTCGTGCTCACCTCCGTGTCGTCCTTACAGTATAGTTCCTTCTGGTCTCCTCTGTGGCGTTCGATTTTGAGTCCAGCTCAGAGGCGCGGCTTGTTTAGGGAGCCCGGCGCTCATGAGCTTAGCGCTGCGGCCACTGTCACTCAGTTCCATTGTAAAAGATTTCGATTTCTACTTTAAACCTTCTGAGTTGATCACAGCATTCGGATTGTTTTCATCGGTTCCCGTGCACTGAGGCCAGGGCAGTGGAACAGGAGTGGGACACCAGTGTTCGCATCCCAGCAGTCTGAGGGAGGGGGCTGGCCTCGGGCCAGCTGAGAAGGGCGTACTGCAGAGCGAGGTGTGCAGACGCGATGCGCTCACGGTCTGGCCTTTCTGTAGGGCTCGCGAGGGAAGCTCGAGAAGTGTGAGTGCACTCCGCTCACATCTGTAAAACTTCTGCCCGGTAGGGAGATGGCCATCCGCGGTTATTTTCTTCAGTTCTTAATAGAAATAATTCTGGGCTGTTTTAGGTGGTTGCTGCAATTTTGTTATTTACTACAGGAAAGAAGGGGCTTATGAGCCAAAGCCAATTCAAAACGATTTTAATTGCCAGAGGGCATGTGTTCTCCAGAACCCTGTTGGGATTGGAGCACTCCCGCTCACATGCCCAGTGAGTTTTCAAGCTCCCAGGACATCTTGGGTATCACGCTTATTGCTTCAGGATCATTGGAGAGTGTTTCGGTACTTTGAAATAATACCAACGAGGTCACTTTCCTAGTATGTGTGCCACTCGGCACTGCAGCCGCAAGGCTAGGACAGCCCAAGCAACCTGCTCACCTGGAATTTATATGCAGGTAAGAACTGAAGCAGACCGTTATCTGAGGCCCCTCCTGTGCTGTTCTGGGGTAGGTATGGCCTTCTAGCAGTTCTGTGAAGTTCACGCTTCCGTATGACCCTTGGTAAAGCTAAGCCTCTCTAATGTTTCTCATTTTAAGAAATTTACGCCATCCAGCAGATGGCGTAATGGTTACGTCACTGGACTCCCATGTAGTTGACCGCTGTGTGAGTCCTGGACCTGGCGGCTTAAAACTCATGCCAGGCACATGTTCATGCGTGCCCAAAATCCCAAGAGGATAACGGAGGAGAAGGGATTGCAGTGTGGTCATCCCCCCGAGGGGGGATGATTTCTTACTTTCTGTCTCTCTGGCGAGCGCATGTACCCTATTGCAAAAAATCTGGGGGGGGGGTGGAAATTCACTCTTGAATT